TGGTGCTAGCAGGTGTTAATGGGCCAATTATCACCCGCTACAGCACGTATATATATATATATATATAGCGCAGTAATTCCATTGATCAATCAACCGGAGTCAGTATAACTCACTGCAAATTTCCACGTCTTCGTCGTAGGCATTTCCACAGTCATCGACGCCATCGCAATAGAGCCTTATCGACAGGCACCGGTTTGTATGATTGCAGGCGTGCTTATCGGGCAGGCACTGAAATTGTTCTATAAGAGAAAACATTTACCGAAACTCAATTCGGGCGCGTGCATTGCTGTGTTCCGTCCTGCAGCGGCATTTCCGTGTATTTTCCGTGTTTGGATTTCGATTTATTGCGCATAGGCATTTATATGCTTTCCTCGGGGGGGGGGGCTTATTTTGCGCTTTTTATTACCCTTTCTCTGACCGGTTCGCTCTGTTGACGAGAGAAGGATGTTAATTGCCCAGCAAACAACAGATAACCAAACAATAGCCACCTCGTGCGAGAACTATAACCGATAATAGTGAATGTGTTGCGAAAACTCACGGCAGGTATCTAGCAGCTCGTCAGATCCGTCCACGCAGTTGTTCTTTCCGTCGCAAACGAATCTTCTATCGAAGCATCTGTCCGCATCGTGACAGCAGAACAGAAGCGGTGGCTCTCCTCGATAATCCGCGAGATGCGGGCGCCGCCGCGCTAAACGATGCGAACACAAACGCAACGAACGATGCGAACACAAACACAACACGGCGCCTGCATAACTGCATAACAGACTACGCGAAAAGAATCGCGGACATGGTATTATTACCGCGGTATATTATTAAAACGTCTATGAACTGTTCAATGATTCGGTTTCGGTGAAAATTAACCAGTTATACCCTTCGCTTCAATCGTGGCGACCGAAGTTTACATTGAACTTTAATTATTTGTTCATACGGTAATTAAATAATAATGTAATAAACAAAAGAATGTATAAAAAAAACTCATAAACCGTTGCCGCTATGTGAGAAATACGCAAATACGTCCAAAGCTGTCATACAAGTTGTTACTCAAACATGCTTTATATGTATACATACAATGCGTCCGACTTGTTGTTTTTTGTTGTGTGTCGCGATGCTGGTTTGAATTCAATTGTCATTTGTTAAAAAAAAAACATAATAAATCATACTGGGTCAGGCAAATTCAGTATCTGCAAACCCCTGTTTATCTTCAATGTGCGGGCTTCTGGGCGATCCGCAGATATTTTTGTCTGAACAAACGCCTGACAACAAACATGAGCTGTTCTCTGTTTTCTGTCCCGACATGCGGCTAATAAACTATCATACTGGCGCGATATTCAATTATCATGAATAGTACATTAATTACGATCAATGTGATGCTATCAGTGTAAAAGCCCGTGCATATTGGCCATTCTGTTATATAGCCAATGTGGGCTTAATTTATCTTTTCGCTTGCTCGCTCGCTCTCTCTTGGGGAGAGACCCCCAGACCTAGTGTGATCCTGTACACGCCACTGGTTTCGCCCCCCCCCCTATGAAAATACCCTGGCGCCGCCCCTGATAGTATCCTATAGTATATAGTATATAGTATATAGTATATAGTATATAGTATATAGTATATAGTATCCTAGTAGAAATAGTATATATTTTTAAACGTTAACCGAGATTCTGAACTTGCTTTATCTGCATAACGGTCCCATTATCTGCTCAACGGGCACAGACACAGAAAAAATGTACAGAAACAAAAGAAAACATTAGGAGGCTCATTAGAAATTTTTAATTTCGAATATTGGATCGGGATCTCGGTATCTCGATCGGTATATATCGATATCTCGAATACATGTTGACCAGCCGATGAGTGAGAAGTAACACGTACGTAATCTTACTGATAACAAATTCTCTTTAGAGTCCTGCGCTTACGTAGACAGAGTTTCGCTGCGTGGGTTGCAGTCAGTTTTACCACGCATGATCTAATATAAATACTTGACTTGATATTGTCGAAATACATAAATAAGTAAATAAGAAATAAATAAATAATAGATAATAATAATAATAACATTAATCATCGTATTAAAAATTAATAAACAATGAATAAATGAAGCCAATCTCAACAGAGAACGAGAGAAAGAGAGAGAGAGCGGGAGAGATTTGGTTAATTTTCTCACCACAGGTGTCGTACTGCTCATCCCAGTCGTTACCGCAATCATCATAGCCATCGCAGAAGAAATCCCGATCCACACATTTGTACGTCTCCTTACATTTTACATGACCCTCTGGACACTGGAGAAGCTCTGTAAGGATAATGAATTCATTACATATATGACTCTTCTAGTGCGCATGCGTCGACGAGCACCCATGCCGTCATGATCATATTCCGGCGGGCATTGCTGTTTCTGGGAATGGTTTGATTAATTGTGTGTGTGCGCGAGCGCGCGTGTGTGCGTGCGTATTGGTGTGTGTGTGTGTGTGTGTGTGTGTGTGTGTGTGCGCGCGCACGCGCTCGCTCGTGTGTGTCTGTGTATATGATGCTTGCTCATGCGCGGGTGACTTCCGGTGGCTGGAAAAAACACCGACGCCTGCTACCCACGTGAAAACCTTAAATGCACATACGCAGGAGCCAGGGGAGCAATGTCTATATTATAACCATCCGCGCGTTAACCATAACCATAACCATAACTCGATCAGTGCGCTGGAGCGCGGGTATCTGGATCGGAAATGTGGTCCGTACAGCTTACAAAAACGAGTAACTTATATCTATATCTGCGTCTTCCTGCGCACGTGCTAAAACTAATGCAGGAATGTAGACCCGCACTCAGCAGAAAAAATCAGCAAAAATCGCTACCGGTGCTGCTAGGTAACAGTTTCACCATATGGTTAGGACGAATTGTTTTCACGAGAGGATTATGTAAAATGTACATTTGTCTATCATTTCATATAACTGAGTTTTACATTACTATATTATATTATTATACATTGTAATATATTAATATTTTTCATATTATTATCTATAGTATTACAACAAGATACATATTGATTACAATAAGACGTAGATAAGTATTGATATTATCCACTAATGATGGTAGCCAGCAACGATAGTTGACAGCGAAAATTGTGCGCTACAAGTTTGCCGCCTGAGGCTAGGAAGTAATATAGTTGTATCACCAGCGAATGATTATTATGAAGACATTCCCATTATCCATTAACGATGGTTATCACTAGTGATGATGGGTCCTAAAAATAACTGGCGAAAATTAATGCGCTACAAGTGTACTTGCAGTAAATAATGTAGTGAATGATTAATTATCATAAAAATATCCGAGCTGATTGATGTTGTCGAGATGTTGTCCCATCCCTGTGGCTCATAGTGTCTATGTCCCCCAGGGTACTGCCGGAACGTACCCTGGGTACGGTCCGGTATACCGGAACGTACCCTGGTAACTATCTAGCTGATATGGTTAGGGATATGGTTAGGGTTAGGGTTAGGGTTAGGGTCAGGGTTAGGGTTAGGGTTAGGGTTGGGGTTAGGGTTAGGGAGTAGGGCGGTAGGGCGACTCCGTTAGACTCGGTTAGTGGAAGTATGGCGAGGTACGCGTCGCGGCATATTAAGATATGTAGTATTTAGTAGCCGAGGGGTACGCTGCGGCGGTAATACGGCGGGCAGTGACCCTGGGGGACATGAGAGCCCAATCAGCATTACGGCTGCGGCAGCACAGGTGTCTTAACTGGGTCCAATTCACCCGCTTACATACGCACGTATAACTATATCATATATAGCGGCGCAGTAATTCTATTGATCAACTCAACCGCGAGTCAGTATAGAGCTGCACTGCAATATTTGCACGATGCTTCGTCGTAGGCATTTCCAGCAGTCATCGAGCGCCATCCGCAATACGAGCCTTATCGACAGGCACCCGGTTTGTATGATTGGCAGGGCGTGCCCTTATGCGGGCAGGCACTGAAATTGTTCTATGAAGAGGAAAACATTTAGCGAAACTCAATTCGCGCGTGCATTGCTGTGTTGCCGTCCTGCAGGCGGCATTGTACCGTGTATATTTCCGTGTTTGGATTGTCGCATTTATTGCGCATAGGCACTCTCATCCACTGCTCTCCTCCTCGGGGGGGGGGGCTTATTTGGCGCCTTTTTATTACCCTTCTCTCTGACCGGTTCGTCTGTTGACTAAGAAGGATGGTTAATTGCCCAGCAAACAACAGATAACCGCAAACAATAGACGGCCCCACCCGTCGTGGCGAGCAACTATAAAGCCGATAATCAGTGATGGTGTTGCGAAAACCAACAGCAGGTATCTAGCAGCTCGTCGAGAGTGCCGTCCGACGCAGTTTGTTGCTTTCCAGCGTCGAAACGAATCTTTCTATCGAAGCAACTGTGCCGCATATCGTGAACAGCAAGAACAGAGAGCGGTGGCTCTCACTCGAATAATCCGCGAGATGCGGGCGCCGCCGGCGCTAAACGGATGGCGAACTAGCAAACGCAACGACGAGATGCGAACACAAGGTACACAAACGGCGCCCTGCATACTGGCATACAGACTACGCGAAAAGAATGGCGCGACATGGTATTAGTTACCGCGGTATAGTATATTAAAAGCGTCTATGAACTGTTCAATGATTCGCGTGTTCGCGTGAAAATTGAACCAGTTTAGGCCCTTCGCTCTAACATCGTCGGGACTGCGAAAGTTTACCATTGAACTTTAATTATTTGTGGTCATACGGTAATGTTAAATAATAATGTAATAAAACAAAAGAATGGTAATAAAAAAAACTCGATTAAACGTTGTTGCCAGCTATGTGGAGAAATACGCAAATACGCCAAAGCTGTCATAACAAGTTGTTACTCAACATGCTTTATATGTTATACCATACAATCGAATCACGGACTTTGTTGTTTTTTTGTTGTGTGTCGCGATGCCTGGTTTGGAATCTCGAATGTCATTTGTTAAAGAAAAAAAAGTAATAAATCAATACTGGTCAGGCAAAATTCAGTATTTGCAAACGCCCTGTTTATCTTTCAATGTGCGGGCTTCTGGCGTCCGCCAGATATTTTTGTTCTGAACAAACGCCTGACACAAAACATGAGGCTGTTCTCATGTTTTGCTGTCCCCCGAACATGGCGGGCTAATAACCTACTCATACTGCGCGATATTAATTATCAATGAATAGTACATTAATGTACGATCAATGGTGAATGCTATCAGTGTTAAAAGCCCGTGCATATTGGCCATTCTGGTTATATAGGGCGCAATGCTGGGCCTTAATTCTATCTTTTCGCTTGCCGCGTGTCTCTCTTTCTCTCTCTTCTCTCGCTCTCCCGGCCTGCTTCGTCCTCTCGTCTCTCTGCTCTCTCTATATAATATATATATAGTAGTATATATATATATACTATATAATAACTAAATATATATACTATATACACATATATTATAGCGTCACAGCTAACACACGTATCCGCTGAGCGCAAATGAGTAGACTAAGAGAGCTGCAAAATATAAAACGCCTATTTATATATTAATATATATAAAGAAAACAATATATATATTACTTAAATAGTAGTTAATGAAACAGCTCAATAATACGCTATTATAAGGCTATAGGGTATTAATATAGCTCTTTAATGAATATATATATATGATACTACGTAAGTCCAGAGCTCATAATAGAGAAAAGTATGACGCCGTTTAAGCAGCGTTTTGCATAGTTTTTAAACGGGTGTCAATATTGCTATCAAGTATGTAAATAAATAATATTCAAACTTTACCTTGTTTTCGTCTATGATTCTCCCTTAATCATACGACACCACCAATTTACCTGAAAATCGTATGTGTTCTTCAAAAAAGTTCTTTGAATACGACACGGTTTCACACAGTTTTCCCAAATGTTCGCATGTATTCGGCGCAAGTTTATTATCGGATTAGTGTTCTATTGTCTATGACGGAACGCTGGGGGCTGTTGGAGATATTAGGCATCGAATTGTATTTAGCGTGTAGCGTTTCCAGCGTGCTAGAAATAAATGTGTGCTCACGGCGAGCTAGCAGCTGATTTTAGCTGTGTTTCCATCGTGTTCCTGATGATAAGGAAGCAAAACAAGTGCTGTTACTGTGCTTACCTAATATCCCCAACAGCTCCAAGCGTCCCGTAGTTACAACCTGGTGCTGCCGCCGCATATCAACATGCGCCGAATACATGCGAACATTTGGGAAAACTGTGTGAAACCGTGTCGTATTCAAATAACCTTTTTAAATAACACATACGATTTCCAGGTAAATTGGTGGTGTCATATGATTAAGGGAGAATCATAGACGAAAATAAGGTAACGTTTGAATATATTTATTCACATATTGATAGAATATTTACAAGTTGAAAACTATGCAAAACGCTGTTAAAACGGTGTCATACCCTTTTTCACTCTACATAAATCTTACTGCAAGCAGCTAGCGTCTCGTCTTCCCAGTTTCCACAATCGTTCTCTCCATCGCAGAGGAACCATTCCGGAATGCAGGTGACCGATGCGTCGAAACCACAGAAGAGACGCCCCTCTCTACACACATTGTACGTCAGCCAGGCAGGACCAGCTGGTAACGTAGAAATAAGCATGCATGTTATCAAGAGCTAATAATAACGTATAAATTATAATAATTATTAATTAATATGATATATTAATGATTAATTATATCAATATATTATTGGTATATCAAGGTTATATCAACTTATATCAAGGTTCGTGCAGCTGTTTATTATTACCATTATTAAATCTTTATTGCATATAATTCAAATTCATGTAAATGTACTGAATACGGATTTTTATAGAGAAAAACATTTTATGAATGCAATAGTGTAAAAAGCTACTTCAATTCTTCTTGCCCATATGCTTGATTGCACGCGCACGCCTAGCAAATAAAGCACGTGTCACATTCGATACACAAAACACATATCAAATTCGTTGTCAAACAACAGCTAGCAAAAAAACGACAATCGAATAAGAGTGAATGAATGCTTTACTCGCTTAAACTTATAATAAGTAATATAACATTAAGCGTATATTTCTAGAGCTTTCATACTAATGAAAAACTCTGGAATTCTACAAAAATGTAAAGTTACTGGAGCGAACTTTGCGCCTTAAATCGAGGAGCGATCTTATGGAACAGGGAAGAGCAACGACAATCGAGCTCATTTAAAATTTATAATTAGTGGAAGAATTTAAATTTTACTGCTCATGCGTAAAACTAGCACGTGTACTGACCTCATCAGCCGTACCTATCAGTGATGACAGTAGCAATCAGTGCATTATCATGGCGAAGTTATTATAAAAGCGTGCGTGGTATCAAGAGCGTATTAAGAAGGTTCCTTCTTTATACGCTCTTGGTGGTATCATTCTGAGATATATATATATATATATATAT